CAAACAATCGTAATCGAGGACCCAGACATACTGTCACAAAGCGCCACCCTCTCGAACCACAACACAGAGCACGTGACGATGTCGCATTAGGAGATGCAGAGGAAATTTTCCCAAAGAAGGGTTTTAGTAGCGCGCCTGTTTGGTGATATTTCGGTTATTACAAGTCAGACAGAAACAAAACCAGAGTGATTTGTAAAGTTTTCAGGGAACCAGTAAAAAAAGTCAGGTAACACAACCAACATATTTTATCATCTAAGCCGCTTACACCCTATGAAGAACGAGCTGTGTCGGCCCCAGTGCTGTTCCACGTTGACAGAGGAAACGCAGGCAAACCCAGCTAAACTGGGTTTCCTTCTATGTTATAAATACGACAAAGTGTTCAAGTAGGATAAGGACATCACTCATGCAGTAACATGCTTCATAGCGATGAATATGCAAACGTTGTCTGCAGTTGAAAAACCTGGCTTCAAACAACTGCTTGCGACTCTTGATCCGCGATACGAAGTTCTGGGCCACAAGTTTTCCTCTAAATCAGCGCTTCCTAATTTGTACAAGCGCAGGAAATCAGTGCAAAATGAGCTGCAATCTGTGTCTCACTACCCAACAAAATCAGACCTCTGTTCAAGTCGCACATCCCAGCCAAACCTCAGCCTCTCAATGCAAAGACAGAATCGAACCTGAGAAGTAAGAGTCTAAAATCTTTTAGATAAGTATCGATATTGATCAATATTTATTCATTTTCTTTTTTATCGATTGCTGTTTTTCTATATCGTCCAGCCCTAGTCTAACTAAACCGTGAGTCTGAGCTGTTTTTCATATTTTCCGCCTTTTTTATTGCCGAATTGAACATGTTTAGTTGGTGATGCTGAGGCAGAAATGGAGGATCCTTTGTTGGCATGGCTCCTAAAATGGTTGGCATGAAAACAGCAGGTAATGGTTTTTTAGATCAAATTTATACACCCATAGTAACCTTGTATCTGTAGTTTTAGAAAATTCCGCTTTTGAGATGTTCTAAACTACTTTTACCATGGATGGATGGTTTTTAGAAACCAGCCTTACCATTCTGCTCATCGGTTGTAATGGTTAGAACTTAAAATTTGTGATTTTCAAAAAAAAATAAACAGCAGATTTTCCTAATCATGGATATTTTTTTTCCACCAGTGAATAAATTCGACTGAAGCTGAGGGAACCACAGCAGAGTGCTTGGCATCTGAACACCTGTGGTAACAAACAGCAAATTTTACTCTATAACTATTTTAAAATTAATCCATTTTTTTTTTAAATCTTTGTTCTAAATGAAGGTAGGATTATTTTCTTTAGTAAGTTTATCATTAATAGGTTATTCTTACCTCATCACCTTTTTCTCCTTTGGGCCCTCGTTCTCCTCTGTACCCCCACGGGCCCTGATATCAGTGAGACACAAGATGGAGATACCTCATTGATATATGGCACTAAAAGCATAGCTATTTGGGTATATTCCTTGGGATGTTTAATAGTTCAGGATAAAGGGTGTGCCCACATGTGATCCAGGAGGACCAGGTGTCCCAGGCTGACCATCTGTGCCATCTTCCCCATCTTTCCCTGGAGTCCCAGGCCGTCCTGGAGGCCCCCTAGGGCCTGGATCCCCCTGCAAGACAACATTAACTGAACATACAGTGAACCGAATATCCTGGGGGTTTCCAACAGAATTTCACCCCATTTATAAAAGATTCTTCTACATCCTTCATTCTCTCAATCATTCCTCAGTCAATAATACAAAAACTGTATTAGCGATTTGAATTAAAACTATTTTGTTATATTTTGTTGCTCTTTCTCCTTGGAAAATCAGAATCCCAGTGAGGACTAGAACCTCATGAGATGACTGGTATCCCTCAAGGATGTGTGTTCAGGACCCTGCCCTTCAACCTGTGTGTTTACTACTGAAAACCGGACTACAGAACAAGCTCTATTTGGATCTTTGACTCTTTTAACTGCTATACTGTTGTGGTGAGGAAGACAAGCACAAAATTCTACAATAGGCAAAAAAGTTACATTTTCTGAATAAAGAATCATATTCTGCTGGGGGTGATTGTGGCTCTTCGTCATTTAATTGACAAACTTGTCAAACACTTGCCACTAACATGGACACAGTTTGACTTTTTTTTAATTAACTAAACCAGTGCATGCATGTCTGACTACCTGTTATTTACACTTTTTAAAGGATTTGTTAAAAAAATTCACAAGCTGATAACAATTAAACAGCTTTGCTCTACAGCAGGAGTCTTGAACATTCCCAGGCCAAGGACCCCCAAACTGATGGTGAGATGGAGCGGTGACCCCCTACTGTAATTATATATATTGTATGAAATTGTGTTATATAAAACTGGTCCTATAGTCACTCTATTACAGATGGAGTAATGTATCAAAAGTAGTTTCGCCCTGGGATTATTAAAGTATTTCTGATTCCTCATTGATGGGACAGGTGTTGTGAATGAAACGGTGCCCAGCTTGAAAGAGCTCCTGTGTGTCGCTGAATGTGTGCATTAATTACTGAAAGACATCTTCTGCCTCCATTTATCTGTTTACTACCGTGTGTTGAATTCATGTTAATTTGTTTTTAAGGACATTTCAAGTGGTGGAAAATATTGCAGGGGAATATTAAAAAAATGTAATAGAGCAAAACTTTCATGACACCCATGCAGTACCTCTGTGAACCCTCTAGGGGTTTATATTTTCTTTATAAATAAATTAACTTGCAAATTATGAGGGCAAGGCTTTTAAAGTTTAAATCTTCTGGCAAAGATAAAGTAAAGAAGATCCTGCAATTTATGGAAGTAAAGCAGAATAAAATCCAGCAAGATCAGTAATATGTCAATTAATTATCTGCCACATTCCCATGTAAATATCTGTCTCATTTGTTGAAATGGGGGGGGCCTATTGTTTGAACCCCTTAGGGGCTTTTAAACAAAAATGTCTTTTTTTGCTCTTTATGAAACAAAGTACCCTATATTTTGTGGATGTACAGCTACATTTCTCATGTAAGTTTGCGTAGTTTTAACACAAACATTTATTTTCCATTTTGCACCAGTACAGTTAATGAGCAACCTGTACTTGTGTGCTTGTTTGTTCCATCTAAAATGTTTATTTTGGAATAAAGAGGTTAATATAAAAAATATTTTTTGTCCTATTCATCGATTAATCGAAAAAATAATCGGCCGATTCATCGATTTTTAAAATAATCGTTAGTTGCAGCCCTAATGTTGAGTGATTTCTTTTAGGTCTAAAACTGTAATATTGTCTATAGATTTATGGGACTATTAATATTATTTTTATTATATAAATGCCAATATTTTTGAAAAAAACTATAGAATAGAAAAAAAAAAACAATAGAATAAAAGAAAAACAATAGAATACAAATCTTTTGCTTGCTTGTTAAAGTGTACCATTTCCCCTGGCATCCCTGGTTGTCCATCCTCCCCAGGTGCACCAGGTGGCCCCTAAAAAATAGGAAAATAAAATAATTACCTCATCATCCACATTCTTTATTTATTAAACAAGTCATTTTGTCTCACCTGTATTCCAGGTTTCCCCATCTCTCCAGGTGGGCCTTCAGGTCCTTCCTTAGTCTGCAAGCTCACAAAGAAGAAACCAGCCTCAAAACTACTTTAATGTGAGTATGTGTTTAAGGAAAAGGTTGGTGTTGCCACACCATACTTACAGGCCACCCAACTGACAGTAACTGGTAGAAATTTGTTTGCTGCAAAAAAAAAAAAAAAGGTAAAAAACTGAAATGAAATGGAGGAAATGCAAAAAAACATTGTCATTTACTGTAAGAAAAAAAAAAAAAAATCTGAAGACTAAATAGACTTTCCTGTATAAATGTTAGTAATCAAACAAGGATCCAAGCTTAAAATAGATTCAGTATCTGAATCACGGTCACAAAACTGAAACCAGACTTTACATCTGTCCTCGGTGATGAAGCTGTGGTTCTACATCATGCTGCCTGCATTAAACAACTTACAGATGCGGCCAGTGCACAGACAGTAAAATACATCAGCTTGCACGCACAACGACTGTACGGACAAAGTTTCTTCTGTGAAGTCTGGAGACCTTATGTGTCAAGCCTACTTAGAGGAATCTCTCAGATATTTGATGCAAGGCTGCACAACAAGCACAAATGATTTGAACTGGTTTCAAGACTCGAAGAATTTTAATAACTTTAGGCTTGGTTTTATGGTGATTCAGTTTATAACAAAAAGCTGCACAACTAATGGAAACTTCTTTTGAGGGTAAAAAAAAAAGTCATCTGCTGCCTTGTGATGACCCTCTGATTTCTGGAGTTAAAAGTGTTTTGGAGGACTTCATGATTCCTTCTGCCAATAAGCTTAAAGGAGATGCTGGTTTCATTTTTTAGCAAGAGGTACCGATGGCTGGTTTGATTACTACTATCGCTCTACCTCCAACATGAGTGAAATCGGCCCCAACAATGCTGGCAAGCTGAAGGTCGCTGTTAAAGCCACCAGGCCTTCTTAAGATCTCAGCAGAACCACAAAGGTCAAACTGCATAGCAAAAGGAGCCACAATCATCCATAACTCCCTATCCTGTATAATGCATTTTTCAGCACTCCCATATTCTTTCACTTTGCATTAGAGATTAACATCCATCTTTCCACGTCAGTATTTGAACTTCAAAGAGGTTTCTTTGAGATTTGAGTTTATTGCAGGAAATTTCAATTTTCAAATCCAAAAAGAATGAAACTGTCAAGGTTCCCGTGTGTGTGTTCTGAGTGCGAGCGATGCATCTTCTCCTCAGAGGATCTTGGTGGAATACCTGGGCTGCCTACACAGGTGGAGCTTGTTAGCTTCATCAGAGTGCTGGGATTAAAAGTGCAGCAGAGCCTTTACTCAGCGCTGGATGATTAGCTGTTACCGTTTTTTCCTCACAGTTTTTTTTTTTTTTTTGAGGATTCAGTTCATCAACTCACCATCCAGTGGATTAACCAGCTAGTTACCTGCCTGCCCGCTCCACCTGCCATCAATTCCTCCATCAGAACTCTGTAATTGCGCTCAATCAGAGGTAAACCATCAACCTCTTCCCTCCATGGCCCACTCAAGGTTTTCAGAAGTAAGCTCTAAGCTCTGAATCTATGGGAGAATTATCCTGCCATAATGCAAGAGCACATAATTTCAATTTGAGAAAAGAATTTCATCTT